CCTCATCTGGGTTCTTTAGATAAGCAAAGGCAAGGAAGCATTTATGATGATATGTTTACAGATAAATTTATTTCAAGGGAATGGTGTATACAGTTGTGGCCCTGGCAAATCCCAAATTCATGGTCAATTGACAGGCTGAAGAATTCTGGTGGCTGATGTGAGGGCAGGGGCTAAAGAACCCAAAATGTGTAGGTCAATCAGACAATTAATTAACACCATCTTGGACTCAGAGTTTCGGGAACTGTCAAATGAAAAAATTTCAGGTCAGGTAGTAGGCCAGAGACATCTTCAGCTTTATGCAAGGGCTTAAAAGAAATCATTAAAAATATAATTAAAAGGTAATAAAAATGTTCCATGAATTATTTGAAGCCTCCTCATTTGTCCCAAGAACCCACGTTCAAACATTAAGAGTGCTAGGTCAAAAGTGGAATTGAACTTTGCCAGAGCATCCATTTATTTATGGAATCATGCCACTACCCCAAGAAAACTCTGCTTTCAATTGATTGTGGATATAAGACCACAAAAGGGAAGGAGAACTACCTCGTGCCTGTCAAACAACTGATAATTCTACTTTTGCCAACTTGACACACTGAATGTTGATTAACCATCAACATTCCCAGTAGACTTTCACTAGGAAAATACATAAGCTATTAATACTACTTTTACAACATAACATAATTTTCAAAGTGTCTAAATTTTACTCATAATCACAACTGGTCAATTACAATGATAATCGGATTTTGGGTGTGTCTTTAAGAATTTGTAGGTCAGGAGCATGGAGTACGTATCATTCTAACTTTAGCAAGAAAAGGTTTGAGGACCTCACAAGTAATTTAAAGCTGCCTGTGCAGCCAGGTAAAATGATTGTAATAAAACTATTGTAAGGAGGGATTATTTCAAGTGTTTCAAAATTAAAGCAAATTTCCATAACATTAAATTGAGGCTTTCAAACAGCTCTGCCCCTCTTAAAGATGGCAACATCTCTCTCAAAGATGGCAACCAAATGCAGTGCTTTGAGCATGTGCCCCTTTCCATAGTCCCACCAACAACCCAGTTACAAACATGGAGCCTAGGAAAGAGCTCACTGCCTCTCCTGAGATTCCCATTCCAGAGCTGTAAACCATCATTCCCTCGATTCCAGTTACCTCACCAAATGACACAAATATAAACATCCAGGTTTATTCCCGTATCATGTTTTTGGCATGACAGAACCAGTTTGAAGTCTTGCGTTAAACAGCCAGTGGTAGCTGTTGGTAAATCAGATGTTTTCAAGCCCGGGACTGTCCGTGTATTCAGAGAAATTATACTACGCAGTGAGTGTGTGCAATCGGTCGCCTGATGCTGTTATTCATGAGCTAGGTAACAGTGGAAATTCAGGTCAAAGATAACTGCAATGTAATTCCCAGAACCTGAGTTGTAACTAAGTCATTAGCTTCAACAGGCAAAACTTAGGCACCCAGGGTAACCCTCAGCAATAGGTCAGATGACATTCACCTATAGGAACCAACTGCAAGTCAACCCTTTTCAGAATCAAAACCAGAAACCTTACAAGACAAATGACAAAAGAAAATTAAAATCAACTTGGAACCTAAAATAAAGTAAAGGAGTCTTCTAGTGACAGTAATGTAGTCATGAGCACTGATTACAAGTTCAGTCTAACCTCACCAAAAAGGGGAAAAAAAATGAGTGGGGATATTTATCAAAACAGTCAATGCTGTATGATTTGACACCTCTGAGATTAGGCCAAACCTTTTCTGAACCTTACTAAGGAAATGAAAGATTGAGAGTCCTGGCACATTAGTTTTGTTCTTGTAGTAGTAAGTTTCTATCATGAGCATAAACATGTTGAGGTGTTCCAGCCAAGAGTGCTTCCTGTCCAGCTGTCATATAATTAAGTCTAAGTCTTTCCTCTTTCTGAATAGTTTTCATTTGATTATTAGCTAAGACATAAGCATTGTACTCAGTCTGTATTCATTCTGTACATATTACTTATTTCTTGAAATTTATGTTTTCCTTAATATGAAATTTGACAGGACCATTTAAATTATTTTTGTCATTTTCTGTTTTAAAGTAAAATTTATAAAAATGAAAATTATTAAATAAATTTTTATAATTTTATGCTATACACTTATATACATACCAGGTTGATCAGATACTATATTATGGACAAAGTTTGTTCATGACTCACTTCTGGTTGTTTATTGGTTTTCATAACTTTCAGACTGGGCTCCATTTACATGTAAATCTAATTCCATGAGCCTTTTTCCAACTTACTATCATGCAAAATAAATTGCACTTTATATAAATCAAGCAGTACTAAACAACTCATTTTTCACTGGGTTTTGAATTTAGAGTTTAGAATGAGTGTCTATGGGTGGGGATAGCCATGAGGTTTGATTTCTCTCAATTTTACACCTAATTAGATATGTGTTTTTAATTTTTTTCATTGACCTTTGTTAGCCTTGAAAATTGTTTTATTTTTCCTTCAAAATGTTTTATATTCAAATTTCCAGGAATTTCAGTATACAGTTTTTGAGAACCAAGGATTTATTCTGAAATCTATGAAAAAGGAAAATTACCATGACCAAAACACATCATAATATACAAGATACAGATTTTTTTTGGCAGAGAAACAATCAAACAAGTAGATTTTCCAATGCATTATAGTAATTGCTATGGTCAACAAAAAAATGGAGAACAAAATGGGTAGTCAAAGTAATTTCAAAACAGGTGTGTGAAGTCTGTGTGTTACTTGAGCAAAACAAGGGACTACAGCATGGTTTAAAATCAGGCAAGTTATGCCAGGGTTGCGTCCTTTCACTGAACATGCTCAATTTGTATGCTAAGCAAACTAATGATAAGCTGAACTATATGAAGAAAAATGTGGCATCAGATTTGGAGGAAGGCTCATTAACGTAAATGTGATACACAGATAACAAATATGTTTGCTGAAAGCAAGGAGGTCTTGAAGTACTTGCTAATGAAAATCCACGAATGCAGCTTTCAGTATGGTTTGCAAGTCAAAGTAACAAAAACCAAAATACTCACAACTGGACAGAGATGCAGCATCGTGATAAACAGAGAAAAGACTGAGGTTGTTAACTATGGTATTTTCAATCATCTCTTATGCAAATGAAATCTGGAAAACAGAATAAGAATACAGTGAACCCTCGCCACTTCGCGCTTCGACTTCCGCAGCTTCACTCTATCGCGGTTTTTGCGTAACAGCACCCACTGCCTACACCCGCTCCTTCAGAGGAAAAAGACGGCGACCCACCTGTAGAGTACATCCCTTAAGTCATTTCATAGCCTATTGATTACAGTGTTTGTAAGAACTATGTATAATAATACTGTATGTGAAATATGTAATACTGTAAACTAGATGCCATAAATAATATAATAAATAATAAATTATAATCGTAACGTCCAAAATGTTTTACTACATTTTCCCTTTTTTGTTTAATAAATTGGGTAATACGAGTGTAATGGTGACTAAGGGTGTTTTTTTCATGTCCTCTATGCTCTAACTACGAAAATATTTGATTTACAAATAAAGAATCCTACTTCGCGGAATTTCATTTATCACGGTAGGGTCTAGAACCGATTAACCGCAATAAACGAGGGTTCACTGTAATCACCGAATCCATGCATTTGAATTTTGGTGTTGGAAAAAAATATTCAATATATGATTGACTTCTAGAAGAATAACCAAATGTCTTGAAAGAAGAGTCAGAATTGTCCATAGAAGCTAGCATAGCCACATTCCATCTTACATACTATGGCCATGTGATCAGAAAGGATGAGTCGCTGGAAAATATGTCATGCTTGTTAAGATGAGTGAAGCATGGAAAGATAGTCCAAGAGATGGCTTGAGCCATTGACTGCAGCACTGCCCTGCAACAGCAGCACGTCACCGATTGGTAGGCCAGCACAGGACTGCGCAGTCGTTAGTCCGATTGTACAGGAAGGGACTCAATGGATCCTGAACAACAAAACAGTAACAGGTATTGTGCAAGCACTCTGCACAGCTTATATAGCTTCATGACATTTTCACTAAAATGTTATGATGAAAAATATATTGCATTTCATATAAACCAAGCAAAAATAAAATACCGGCTTTTGACTGAAATTTAAAGTTAGAGGAGTGTTTCTGTTTGGGAATCAAGGATAGACACGAGGCTCAGCTTTTCTTTCAGTGGTACTCCTAATTAACTAATTAATTAATGCCTATCTCTGTGTTTATCGATGAAAAATTGTGCAGTTCTTTGAAATACTCAGGATATTTGTAAATTTAGGTTATGTTATTGAATCCAGACATATATATATATATATATTAAGTAACAGTAAAAAGCATATCTGTTCATCTTCACAAGTTTATTTTTTCCAACAAAATGGTTTCTTAGAGGTCTGGTGTAGAGACCTCACATTTTACAGTGTAATTTGAATTTAGTAATTTAAAAATAATATCATTAATTAGGGAATATCTGGTTTTATATAAAATCTGAAATGTGGATATTTTAAGGAAAAATATGTTTCGTGGTGATCTTGTTGTTCTGAGCCACACTTCATAACTGCTTTTCTAAATACTTTAGAATGAATCATAATGGCAAAGACAAATTTTAAAACATGAATCAAAAGCTATTGATTTATCCTCATATTTCACAGTGCAACTTTTTATAGAAAGATATTCTACATCTATTTGCAGTATTTAATATACTCAGGGCATATTTTTGTCATATTGCTAAATATTAACTTTATTCTAAATGTTAATGATTCATATTTTAGCCAAAGTTAGTGTTTTCATATTGATAATATTAAAAGGATTTTCTTAAAGAGTAAAATAATATTTAAAAAACTATTGTCACATTTATATGCAAATATATCATCAGAATTGCTATGGTTTCTTTCAATAGTCAAGTAAAACTACTAATATGCGTATTTATGCTAAATATTTATCTTAAAGAAAAAGCTTATACATGTTTTATGATATTGTTTCACAGATGCCCCCAAGTTTATATCAAATCAAACTATTTATTACTCTTGGGAAGGAAATCCAATCAATATAAGCTGTGATGTGAAATCAAATCCACCAGCATCAATCCACTGGAGAAGAGACAGATTAGTATTACCAGCTAAGAACGCTACTAATTTAAAGACGTACAGTGCAGGAAAAAAGATGATATTGGAGGTAAGTCATTGTACATATATTTATTTTAGTAGTTATCCACTGTTTTAGAAAGTATTCAAATATCTTTATTTATAAATCTAATTTGAAATACAGTTGTATATATTTCCTGTCACTCCCTGCTATCCAAGAGATACTAACTCATTGTGACCTGTCTAGGGGACAGGGTAGAGCTGCCCCTGTGAGTGTTGGAGACTGCAACTCTACCAGCGTGGGAAGCCCCATTATTTTCCTGCATGGGGGCTACTGGGGTCTTCCTACTGTGAAGCTTGCCCAACACATAGCCACTACATCCACAGAGCTCCATATTCCCTGTAGATTTACATAAATGTAAACGTTATGCATTTGAATCATGGCCCATTGTTGAGGAATACCTCATTATTTATTGACATAAATCATGGATGTGTAGTAAAGGCCATTATTTTCAAAAATTTGTTTTTAGAAGGAAAATAATAATAATAACTATAACAGTAGAGTGAAAGGTAATAATCTCATAGTGACTGAGGTTCAAAACTTTAATTTTAATCTTGATATTAGTCATTCCAACTTGTGTTAGCCCTTTCAGTCTCCTAATAATGATATATATAAATTCTGCCTGTATTTATGATTCCTCAATAATTTCCTAAATATGTCAAATTTACTTACTTGTCCTTTCCCCATTTTCACATTTTTAATAAGCTTTAAGATAACTGCTTATCTTCTCTCAAGGGTCTGTGCTTAAAATGGTGTTTGAGTAGAACACCTTTCATTTAGTACAGTTTGTGTGTGTGTGATTTTGTGTGTGGACTGCTGATGCTTACACAAAACGTTGACAGTGATCACCAGTCCATCCACCTTATTATGACTTAAGATGATTACAAATCTCTCTCACGGAGCCTTCTTTAGCAATCAAGCTTTTATGCTTTTGAATTATTTCATTTTAAATAAATTTCAAGAAATGTATTTTTATTAATATCTGATATCTATACTGTATCCATTTAAGGCATTTCTTTGACATCATGTGATTTACTTTAACAGCTCATTGTACTTTGTGAAATACTTGATTAACAGAAAGATTTAACCTTTCATATCTTCAAATATTTGAATAATTTATTGAATTAAACTAGATTGAATTATAAAGCTGTATTTTAGATGAACTATCTGTTGGTTGATTAACACAGAGGTCAATTGCACATGGATATTTATGTGGATTTAACCTAAATTATATATTATTAAACTCAGTTTAATGGAGTTGGAGTTAATTATACATGGAGTTAATTCCATGTGTAAAGAAAACACTACTGAGTTACTCTGCTCTACTTTCTCTGGCTAATTTTAAGTTTGATGAACAGTTAATAATTCACCATAATAAATGTCAAATTACATTCTAAAGTTCTAGCATTCAAGGATTTCATTAACAGTTGACTTTCATGTTATCTAACCTTTTACTTAAATGGCAATAAAAACGTTTTCATGTGTATACCATAATTAACTTCAGGGAGTTTTTAATTGCTTTACTATGATATCCCATAATGGGTTGTCTTCATCATTGCTAATGTCCAAGTAAGGATGCTGATAAATGGTTGAAAGCTGGCTTTCAATAACCACGAGTTCATTAAAAAGCAGATATCAGCTTTTTGAGGATTTAAGATAAGCTACAACTTTCATTATCACCATTGCAATTTCAACTTATATTTTGCTATTAGAAATTGTATTTGCTGGTTTATTGTATTTTCTTGAAGTGCATATTTTAAATAAATTTGTATTATTTCAACTGCATATTAACATAGGAACAAATGCTTTCATTAGTAGATTTTTTAGCGCTTTCAATTATTTGCATTTTTAAACATTTGATCACTTTAAAATTAATGTTTACAATTGACTTCTGTGTTAGAATAATTTATGTTTCAATAAAATTATCCAACATTTCATTGAGCTGAAATTGGGTATAAAACTACTACTGGATTGATTTCCATATCACTCTCTTAAAATACACAAAACATGACTCAGAATACACAAAATATAATTTTCCAAGTTATGCACAAAGCTGTCCTTTTAAAATCCGTGTCTCAGAGCCATGGGCAGCGGGGATGGACATTCTACATCTTGATCAGGTGGTTGTGGCAGCCACCCAAAATGGCAAGTGCTGGCTGGCCCACTACTGGTGGCATTTTTTCCCCACTGATGTAAAGCTCAGTGCATGGGTCTTGTGCCCCCATCCATCCTTGTTTATGAATATGAATGGGAGGGGTCTGGTTCATCCCATGCCTCCTAGAGACTGCTGTCTACCAAGCTTCTGCATACCCCACACAGCTGTCCAAATCCGGACCCAGAGACTCTAGGCCATTTCCTTCATCAAATGCCTTCTTACGTTCTTGCCTATTTCTGTACAAGTTTTTTTCACTAGTTCATATTCTTCCTGGATTTGAGTTCTATCACCATCTCACCCCCATCCCTCACTCCCCAGCCCTGGACTAAGGATCTATAACTTATTTGTCTGGCTTTACATAGTTTCTGTACATTTGTTTTTAGCTAGTCTGGTTGTTTCACATGATTTGTTATTGAATCTAATAAATCATTCTTCTATAACACAATGGCACATCAGAAATAAATAAATAAAACATAATCTGTATACTGCTTGAGCATTTTTGGTATTTCCTAACCACACATGTGGAAAATGAATGATTTGTTTCTGATAAAATTACTAAATTTTTATCTATTCAAGCTGAATTTCTACATAAAACAAGAATGGATTGAGCCTTTTTAAAAATTGGCCCAAAGTAAACTTAAATATTTAAATTAGTTTAATAATCTTTAGGAACTGGGGAGTTGTTACAATTTGTTGCCATAGCTATTATGTTTCTGCTTTATATTGATTTAGTAAATGCATTTTTCCCTCTGGAATATGGAAATATCTTTGTCAAATGTTTGTAGAGTAAGAAAATTAATTTTTGAAAGCTATTTGCACTGGTAAATTTATTTTAAAGATAAATCAGCTTGATTTATTAAAATCAACATGTAAGAAAAATGATTGTTTAAGCCACATAAGAACACTTATTGAAGAACTGTTAGAACTTTAAATCTATTATCTGCGTCTAGATAGACAGATGACTAGAAATTGAATGACCCAGCTTTTTGTGTGCCTCAGAATTACCATCTTCAATGGACCTCAAAATTGCACTTTTAGATAATAGTCTCCCATTACCACAAAATCATTTTTCCCATTTGGGATAGTTGAAATTAACAGTAACTCGTGTGGTAAGCATATTCTTTCTTAATAATAGTTACTGGGTTTGAAAATTATATCTATTACTATCATCAAAGCTCTTCTCTGAATTGATTCTCCAGGATTTTGGTGCATTAGAATTACAGGGTTGGTCCTGGTGTTCAGTAATAGAAACCCCAAAGGTTAACTTAATTATGGATTTCAAATGTTTAAGAGGTGAGGTCAGCTCTTTTCCACCTAAAACAAAAGGAACTGAGCAGAATACTTTCAATAGATATGAAGGAAAAGTACCTGGCTGCAGAATTTGTTATATAAGGGCTACATTTCCTTGAAAAATATATTTTTATTCATATTAAATTATTTTACATGGAATTTATGCATAAGAGAGTGAGATATCTAACATTTTTAAGCATTTCTTGTCCATGATCTTCAAGCATGCTTGTCTATGACAAGCATTTCTTGTCAACATGGCTAAAACATACAATATTAAGAATTAACCATGCTTTGGGAACGTTCCATTTTCAAGTTCAAGTCTGTAGTAATTGCCTACCCTTGCCCTGGGATGGAGGGGAAAAAAAACATTGTATACAGTTAGCTTGGATTTGCACATATGATTGTCAGTTGATTTTTCCATTCCAATATATATAACATGTTAACATTTATTCACATAGTAAATTTATATATGAACTATGAATCACCTAACCCTATGGGTAGAATGAATCCATGGTTTATATTTTAAAAGAATTTAAAACCTGTATAATATTTAATCGATATAGAAAAAAAAGGAGTTACTGGCAAAGAGTGAATGAATATGATAAACCTACTTTTTCATTTTAAAATTGTGTGATGTTGTTTCATTATTCCAATGTCTTTATTAATATTCATTATTTAGATTGCACCTACATCTGACAATGACTTTGGACGATATAACTGCACAGCCACTAACCATATAGGAACAAGATTTCAAGAGTATATTCTTGCTTTAGCAGGTAAGTATAGTATGATAATATTTCTGAACTTAAAATTATTTTTCTAATAAAATTATATTTTATATTAATCAAATATCATTATATTATAGATTCCTGGTGGTGTAAATGGTTATGCTTTGGGCTGCATGATCATCAGTTAGAAATCACCACCAGAAACTATGTGAAAGACATACTGGGCTTTCTACTCCTTTTAGCAGTTAGAGTCTTAGAAACCTACAGGGAGTCACTATGCGTCAACATTGATGTAATGGCAATGGCAATGGAGTTTTTCTTGTTTTTTTGTTTGTTTCTTTTTTAATAGTCTTATGTTAAGCTATGTATTTCAGAAAAAAGTTAGCTTTTGCCTTTTAATATATTATCATGTAAGTTATTATATAATGATTGAACCAGTATTTATAAAGTTTAGAATAATAATTATATATGATATAAAACATACACTTAGGCTGCCAAGCAAAATATTAAGAGTATTGAGTTCACTAAGAGATGCCTTAGGAAACAATGACTAGTGGTCTAGTTCCATACATGCATCCACTGAAAACCCTATGGAGTTCAGTGTCACCCAGACATACACGGGGTTTCCACTTACCAGAGAAATATATAGAGTTTTGAAGGCATGTGTTTTGTTTGGTGGGTTTAAATTTCCAAGTTGTTGATTAGCAATTGAGCACCATAATATTTAATGCATCAAGTGACTTAATTTTAATAACTATGCTTCACATTTATGAAGTTCCTACTATGTAGGGAGAATCAAAAGATGGTGGAGGAAATACACTGACTCAATATACCAAAATGTTAGGCATTTCCATGTGTATCATATGATCAAGAATCAATGGTCTTACAGGAAGAAATCCAAGATGTACCGAAAACACTGGAAATAGACAAAGCCCTCTACTTTAGCCCTTAATATAATATCATTTGCTCATTTTCCCCCTCCCCCCTCCCTCACGAACCCTTCATAATTTACAAATTATTATAGTTTTGTCATGTTACACTGTCCAACGTCTCCCTCCACCCTCTTCTCTGCTGTCCATCCCCCAGGGAGGAGGCTATACTTAGATTCTTGTAATTGGTTCCCTCTTTCTACCCCACATTCCCTTCACTCTCCAGGCCTCGCCCCTCTCACCACTGGTCCTGAAGGAGTCCTCTATCCTGGATTCCCTGTGTTTTAAGTTGCTATCTGTGCCAATGTACATCCTCTGGCCTAGCCATATTTGCAAGGCAGAATTGGGATCATGCTATTGGGGGTGGGGGAAGCATTTAAGAACTATAGAAAAGTTATATGTTTCTTCATTGCTACCCTGCACCCTGATTAGCTTGTCTCCTCCCCAAAACCCCTCAGCAGGGGTGTGTTCAGTTGCCAACCAGTGGACTCTGAGTCTCCACTCTACACTCACCCACCTTTACAATGACATAATTTCTTGTTCCTTGATGCCTGACACCCGATCCCTTCGACAGTTCATGGTCACACATACTGGTGTGCTTCTTCCATGTGGACTTTGTTGCTTCTGAGCTAGTTGGTCGTTTGTTTATCCTCAAGCCTTTAAGACCCCAGACACTTTATATTTTGATAACCAGTCACCATCAGCTTTCTTCACCACCTTTGCTTATTATGCACACCTTTGTCTTCAGTGATCGTAT